TTCAAGAAGACTATTTAAACAAATACTTTATTTCCAAAGGTCAATCAGTGTTTGCGTATTTTGTCAAAACAATGATTGTGGGGGGTGTAAGAGAACAACCTCAGATGATGCCGTTGATGCATTTCTTGCTTCAGGCGATGATGATTTGTTTACATACACTTGGTTTATTAATACATGCCACAACGTTATTCCATCGTGTTATTTCGGATGATAATTTTTTTTTTGCAATACCAGAAAGAAAGGSCATGGTCTCTTGTTAATTCATGCCACAACGCTCTAAAAATTCCCAAAAATGCAGTTAATCGTGTGTTATTTCGGATCATTAGAGAAAAACGATTGCGCATGCGTGCATTTCAGCACGTTTTCTAAGAACTATMTAGAAGAGTTTGAGTGAGAAAATAAATGTCTTTTTCGTCGCGGTAAGCGGGTTTTGCATGAGTCGTGACCAAGGGTTTTATTTTCTGTGATGAGTAATCGTGAAAAATTGAAGATCGTGATCAACTCGTAGCCTGCATTGCTGGCGGTCAGCGGTGAACCAACTCGTGAATAGCATATTGTGATATTTAGGTTCCATGGCCATACTGACTTCCGGTGGTCACGTGACCTTAACGTGTAAGCAAGACAGATACAGCTATTTCAAAAAACATTGGTAAAGGTTTTGTTGACCAATACATGTTGGAAAACTTACTGTCGAGTAAATTTATTTAACAACATCAACTTTTATAACTATTAACAATAATAATGATAGAATAATAATAATATTTAATAATAATATTTTGAGTGGCATACCATGGCTTCTTGCACAAGCCTTTAGGGGATCGTGCTGTTTGCTAAAGATATATAATTGAGAAGTGGGATATTCCATGGTGTATCACGAGGAAGCATTGAATAACTATTTTCTATCACAGCATTGAAAAACCATCACATGCACATCGGTCTTCATGCATTTTGATTGGCTGTATCTTCAATGTGTGGGATAACACTTAGTCTACAACAATCAACATAGATGTTCGAAGTAGTTTACTGATTAATTGGAGTGATTTTGCTCCTGTTGCAGGCTGGGTAGTGACATGTCTTCAAATGCAGAGAGTTGCCATAATGAACTAAAAATAAAAGAGAATCGAAAGAAGAAAAAAAATGTTTAATGAAAAAAAGGTATGCCTAAACTATTATTGATTGACACATTAAACTACGGAAGGCTTTGCATCTCTTACTTCATACTTACGTCATCCATGCTAAAAACAACCTTGCCAGTCCGCGAAGCTCGCGATCTTCTAAGAAAACTTTCTGAAATGAAAACGTATGAAAACTGGATAATTAGAGAAAAATTTATAGCATTTTGGGTTCTTATGACGAAGAATAGACCTCTATAAATTAGTTGGGGGGAATATTTTCCCATTCCAGACCACGTGTCATTCTCTTGAAAATAAAAAAAGTACACACTCAGCATGCCGTCGGACCGATTACAAGAGAGATACCTAATAGACTCACCGAACATCAAAACAAGCCTGACGTTAATCTGTACGAACATGTCGAAACTGATGACACCACGCTTACTGTGGAACCTCAGTACAATGGTCTCCAGTGAACGATTACTAAGCTTGAAATCTGTCCGGAAAGAAGAGAAAAAGTCACATCTCGCTCGCGGATTGACGCGCTTTATCAATACTTCATGGCTGTCGAGGATTCACTCCACACGATTCCAAATGGATGGAAAAGAAATTCGAAGAGAAATACCGGGTATTTATAGACTTTTCTTCTTACTTACTTAGTCCCTTGAGAGCATCACGTAACTCGTACGCGCCCATCTCGCCGATGTTATCTTTGTCATAGTACTGGAAATGTCGCTAAAAACAAACAACAAGAGGAAGCAAAACATCGTATCAACTAAAAATTAAAAAATGCATGGATCATGCAGTAAATAGACCTCTTTAATTTACATGTGCGTTTCAGACCACGTGTCATCCCTAGAGTATCATTTTTTGTTTAATAGTTGCGCGAATTAAGACACATAAATATGGATACAACTCAAACGAACAATTACTCTCTAGAGAATGACACGTAGTCTGAACTGGGAAAATGAACATTACCCTCAAGGTAAAGAGGTTTTTTGGTATGACTCACCTTCCAAGTTTTGATCAACATCCAGAGCTCAACGAATTCTTCATACTCCAAAACACCATTTTTGTTGTACTGCCATTAGTTATGAAAATAAGCTACTATATATATATTTTAGAACACGTATACCAGGAGCATGCATTCTGGTCTAGCTTGGGTACAAACATTTTTATATATTAACCCCTGAGAATATGTTCTAATACTCACATGTCATAAGAGGGAACGAACCCGAAACCCAAGAGGGCTAGTTAGAGCGGCTAGTGCCACTCTTGATTCCCCTAACCCTTTCA